ACTATCAAATAAAGCATATATATATACATATGTAGAAAGATTTTTTTTAAAATAGACACTCCTGTACTACTGTGCTAAATAGCGATAAAATTCCAGTTTAATTATACTGGAGTCAAACAGATCGGCAGGAGGCGCACAGCACCTGAGAGGAAACAAAAATGGGCGTCTTCCTTCCACACAGCATCACTTAATTAAAAAACACAGATTTAAAGCTGGTTCTCTGCAGCGTCGTGAGGCGTAGTCTGATGATTCTCCATGTTTCTGGTGACTGTCTGACTGCTGCCAGCAGCAGATCTTCCTTCACGTCTTCTCTGAAGCGCAAGAAGTGACAAAACATCACAATTGGATGAAACAAGACAGCAAATCCTCAGTCACTAAAAAGACAGTAAAAGTAGCTTAAAGCTTAATTCTGGTTTATATCAGGTCAGACACAAGTTTCCCCAGATGGAGATCCTTCATACAGGTAATAAAATGTCTGTTCCAGGTGACTTGTTTCTGTCAGACTGAAAACTAAGAAATAATTCAGTTCTTTTAAAAAGCTGCAGCTTTTTTAGACAATACAAAGTTATTCTGACCCTAGAGATTTGTTCTAAAGGAGGGCAGATCAGTGTGTCTTGATTTACTGTTTTCTAGAAAGAATTCTTACAAATGAAAAGCTTCTTTCATTGCATCACTCTGCTATTTGTATTTTAATATGTAACCAACTTTCCTTCAACCACATTGCAGCTAGAACAGAGAAGGAGCGAAATGAAGCAGAAATGCTCATTAAACTTCTCTTTATTGGTGAAATCACCACATTTATCTGATCAGAACCGTCCTCTACAGGGTTGTTTCATTATAAATCATCAGGTTCTTTCTGCTCCACCATCTCTGCTCTGCTTAATAAACTGTAGATATTTAAAAAGGTATCTGTGAAATTTTACCTTGATATATGAAACACTTTTTAAGAAAAAAGATGTTTTTACAAACTGCCTGTCGACCTACTTTCAGCAGGTTTTCTCCCACATTTGAATTTGAGGCTGTTATTCTCATATTTAAAATAGTTTGGAGACAAAGTGAGCAGTAACAGAAGAAACACAAACCTGTCTGATGTATAAGGCTGTCACCTTATGGAGAGAAAAGAAACATCCAAACCCTAAGAAGAACAGAACCAGGCGCAGGACAAACCAGAACCGGTCTTCACCATCACCTGTCAGAACGTTTCACATCAGCATCAGCAGAACAGGCTGAAACACAGTTTGATTGAGAAGATGAAGGCAGCAGATGGTGTCTCACCTGTGTGCTTCAGTCCACTGCAGAGCGTCTTGACGTCGACGTGGACACTTGTGTTTTCTGCAGGGTTTCCAGCCTCACACCTGTAAGAGGAGCTGAGGTTCTGCTCGGTCACAGTGAGCAGCAGAGAGTCCGGGAAGCTGATCTGGTTCAGCATCTCCTCGTCTTTGTACCACCGCAGTGTGATGTCTGCAGCGCTATCCACAGCACAGCGCAGGACGCAGCTGTCAGAGGTCACGTTCACAGTTTCCACTGCAGGACCAGATGCAGAGTCTGCAAAGGAAACATCACAGCAAAGAGGTAGAAAGAAGAAGCTCGCACATCATCAGCCCACAGGAGTTACCTCACAGTAATGTGTTAAGAGGCTTTGTTAACAGTGTTACAGTGTCAATGAATCCTGATGAGATAAAGCTGAATCTACTGGTTTTCACGTTTGTGGTGAAAGTGGAACCATAGCAGATGGACTTTCTGTCTTCAAAGTAGGAATTAGTTTTCCAGTGTGAATGATCCAGGATATTATTATTATTATTATTATTATTATTATTATTACATGACAGAGAAACATGAAGTGTAGAGTGGGGGAAAGACATGCAGCAAATGAGCCACTGGCTGGACTGGAACCGCTGCTGCTGCTGCGTCGGGGATTATAGCCCTGTATATGGATCACCATTTCATCCGGTTGAGGTACCGGGGGGCCTCTACCACATGTGGTTTTAAGGTATTTTGACCTGTCAGCCTGCTATCCAGTTGCACCATTCATAGAAATGTGTTCACTGAAGTGCGGAGTGTGTTTGCATGATGCTGCCACCTCCATGCTTGATGGTAGGTTTGGTGTTCTTGGGGTTAAAGGCCTCACCTTTTCTCCTCCAGACATGTTTCTGCTCAGTGTTTGTTCCATCTGACCACAGAACTTTCCTCCAGAAGGCCTTTTCTTTGTCCATGTGACCAGCAGCAGACTTCAGTGGAGCTTTAAGGTTCTGCTTCTGGAGGAAGAACGTCCTTCTTCGTCAGCCTCTCAGCTCATGTTGATGTCAAACCCTGTGGACCCTGACAGCTTCTGGTCCATCCAGAGCTGCTTTCTGCTGATTCCTGGTTGACTCTTTTCCATCCTGACCAATCATCTCTCAGCAGCAGGTGATAGTGATAGTGGCAGCAGCACAACTGGACCAGGAACTTTACACTGACAAACTGATGGTTCTGGGATCTGAAGCTGCTTTGAAATGGCTCCAAGTGACTTTTTAACTTTGCTGAGCTCCTCAGACTTTCCCACTGTAGAGTTTGTGTCTGAGTCTAATGAGTGGATCAGATGGTTCTGTCTAAACTGGATCAGAGGAGTCTGCAGCTGTAGTCAATCAGAATCACTCAGGAGAAGTTAGGAGGTCATGGAACTAAGAACATTTGATTAATGCAGCTTTCCACATCACCAAAATTGATAATTGAAGTTTCTGTATGTGTATTTTTAACGCAACAGTTTTTTGTTGTTGTTTTTTTTTTCATATTTCCACAAGACCTTTAAAAAACTATGAAAGAACCAAAATGAATAAGGCATGTGTTTCCATAATTCAAAAATTAAGATGTGTGGGAGTCACTGGAAACTCAAGACTGACATGATATACGTGGTCTTTATCTTTAATACTCCTTTTCCACCAAACTGGTTCCAGTGCGAGTGACTTAGTACCAGTTCTTTGTGTTTCCACCACCTCAGCACCGGCTCCAGGCTCTCAGAACTGGTGCTTTTCAGGCACCAACTCCTTACTGGGTGTTATGAAGTGACACCTGTAATGGTAGTTCCTGCCCACCAAGGGGGCCTAGTGGGTTAGTGAGCATGTGGTTCTGCTGAGTGCATGCAGGAACGACACAGACCGTCAGGATGCACTGGGTCCATGTCCTGCAATTACGTTTCCAGATTAAAAAGCTGTCTTTCTGGTTACTGGTTATCATCAAGATATCACATATGGCGACGAGGATAAAAGCCTGGTGTTAGAGTATACGTTTAGGTGATTTGTGTGGTTTTTCTGCAGGACGTCTCTGGTCCGATCGCAGATGTACTGAAATGAGTTCAGGGACACACAAACTGTTGCACACTGACATCCGGTACAACTGTGTCCCACCAGCAGCACCACAGTGGTGGAAAACAGGACTTTTATAACCTCGGTTTACTGCGGTATTTAACTTAGAAGTGCGGTCCTCTCATGAAAAACGGAGCGCACCTACAAACGCTGTTTATGCCGCTCATGGAAAAGACCACATAAGAAAAAATCACTCGGTTTCATCGTGGACAAATCTGACCTTAGACCACCTTAGTTTACTCATGTTGAAGTTATTTTTGGTCGCAGCCGGTCTGAGCACCGCGGCCACCAACAGCAGCGACCACAGCCTGCTATGTGGGGCGTTCAGGGAACATCAGTAAATTGTAGAGTCTATCGATAAGAAAATGTTCAGCCGGTCATATGTTTTTCCTGTGACAAGTTGGGACGTGCGACCAAATGAGAAAGTGGGTCACACCGGTATAAAAAAAAAAAAAAAAAAGTCAGTCTGGAGTCCTGTGTGGACTTCCGTGTGGCGCGAGCGTCGTTCAATAAACGGCTACGTGTTGTTATGACCCTGTGGGTCATTTGTAGCGTTTTGCTTGTGTTTTGCTGCATTGCTCTCTCTCCTAAGTGTGTGTGTGTGTGTGTGTGTGTGTGTGTGTGTGTGTCAATGAGTGAATTCGGAGCAGGTGTCTGCTGATTGGTTGCTTTGCCGGCTGCATCGCCTGATTCCTGCCACGCGATTGGTCAGGGGGCGGGTCCCTAATCTATTTGAACAGCCCGCCACCTGCACTGCCTCTTCGCCTCTCCAGCCTTGGAAACGCCAGCATGCCGTTGTGTCTGTGCTGTAGGACGATGCAGCAGCAGCACTAGTTAGTTAGTTAGTAGTCGTGTGCTGTGGATTTTCTGAATTTTGTAAACTTTGTGAAAACGTGTAAATAATTGTGCATTCTGGTAGAGCAGTAGTAGGAGGGAGAAGCCCTTTTTCTTTTAACCCTTCTTCTCCTGTTTTGATTTTCACAGGAGGTAGGTAAGATAATTGTCATTCATTTACCCCTTTTTTTGTTCAGGGAAGCTAGGGTAATTTAGACTATTTTTGTTTAGTATGTTGGCTCATGTCTCCCTCTGAAGGAAATAAAAAACTGCTCCTTTGAACTTGGCATACTGGTTGCCTGCCTTTCTTGGAGTGGGAAGACTGGGGGAGCACAAACTCATGTCAGAGGTTCCCCTAGACCAGGGCACAACAGTATGCAGTGACGTAGGCATGGCTCTAACTTGGCTCCTTGTCGATGGAAAAGCAAACAGGTTCTTAGGAGGTGCCAGATTGGACCCAACTAAGCACTGGCCCGAGCACCAGCACAGAACTGGCACCTGGTTCTTCTTGGTGGAAAAGGGCTAACAGTGGATGTAAACTGTTGTTCACGACTGTACATGCACATTTTCCTCCTGTTGTCTGTGACGGTGCTTGTAGGTTTACTTACCGTAAACTGTGAGTTTGTAGGACTGCGCAAAAACGTTTCCTGTTTTAGACTGAACAGTATAAATCCCAGAGTCGTCTTTCTGCAGTCGGGTGATTGTAAAGAGTCCAGTAGTTCTGTTCCAGAGAAGTCTGTCCCTGTAACGTTGGTGCCAAATGTCTAATACCCAGTTCTGCACTACAGCCAGAGTCTTGACTTTGTAAAAGAGGAGTCCTAATTCTCCGACCGGGGCAGGTAGAGTGATGCTTCCTCCTTCACTTCCTGTCAGAGTCTCTTCAACGTCTGCAGCAGATGAACTCAGCACTGTAAGGAGAGTCACAAAGCAGCTTTTAGACACTGAAATTCAAACTCACTGCCAGTTGTTTATGGAAGAGAATAAAAGTATGTGGGACACCAATAATATAAGACAGTTTATTCATGATGAAGTCATCTGGGTTTGGATTTAATTGATTTCTATGAGCTGAGAACTTCTGGCACTTATTTGGAAACATGATAACTAACAGAATACAACAGAAAACAAGTGGGTCATTTCTTTTTTCATTTACATGACAAACGTCCTACTGTTTGTTCTCAGATGCCAAATATGGTCCAAAAACTACAAAGAAGTCTGGGAAGCACTTTTGACATGAATTGTTTGTATGAATCCTGTAACAGGGTCACTGACAGTAATATGCTTCAGTTTGATTTCTGACAGAAATAGAGCAGAATCTGAAATATCTATTTTTCAGTTTACATGTCAGAAAGTTTTAAAGGCTTGGCTTTTTTTTTTTTTTTTTTTTTAATTTCTGGGTTTGCATGGAAATATGACACGTCGTCATGCACTGTCTGACTGTTTGACTCCACAAAATATTTAGTTTAAATCAGCACCATAGTCATTGTGCACCAGATGCCGTATTTCCACATTTTCTCAAGACATCGCCACGTCTGCAACTAATCTAAAGTAGTTAATTTTCAACTGAAATCACAATGACTAGACACACGTCAAGAAAAAGAGACGACAAGCTCACAGCCAGCATCTTCCAATCAATAATGCTGTGTAAATATTTCTACTAATTCAAATGAACAAAGGACTACAAGCAGCTTACAGTGAAGTTCTACTCACACAAACACAGTGACGTCAGTGACATGGGTGATAGTTCTGTGTGACAAATGCTTTAAATATAATTTACATTTACATGCAAGTCTATTTTTATTTTACTTTCATATTTGATGAACTAGAATTCTATGGAGGCTCCTGCTCACAACAGTTTGTTCATCTGTTTAAACTTCATCTGTCAGGCAGCGAACTGATCGAGTGAACATCACACCCAGGACTGTAAAATATCAAAGCTGTGACCAAATATTATACTACAATATACTAAATATGTCACGTTGTGCAAGGAGCTTCGAAATACTGATTGGTTGTCCCTAAGCGTCTGTCAGAGCGGTTTCTCAGCCTGTATTACAGCTGTTCTTGTGGTCCAAGCTGGTCTGGTTTTCCACACAGACTGTTTGTCAAAGTTTTAAATTGTCATATAAACCTTTTGAAGAGAAGATTCCACATTTAAATGTCGCTCCAATGCAGTCACTAAACACTAATTCACTGAGAAAGGCTTTTAGCAATCAGGCAAAGACTAACTGCTTCAGTTACCTATGAGAAGGACGAGGCTGCTCGTGTGGACCTTCATGGCTCCTCGGAGGCTTTTCACTGTGTGAGTCCACTGATGCTATTTGTTCAACACTAAACTGTGCAGCTTCTTTCTGTCACTCTGTTTTAACCTGAGAGACCACAACGTGTTGGCAAAACATATGAAACTGCATCCCACCACTGAAACCACCTGTGGTTCTTGTTGCTATGGAAACAGCTAACTGACCAGGTGACAACATGCCACACGTTTACTTTAACACATTATTATTAAACTTAGCATCATCTGAGAATCTGAGTTGCTCTTTCAGTGTGTGTTGGACAGAATTCTCTGCAAAACTGCCCAGAAATGAACCTTTTTGTTGTTGTTGTTGTTGTTGTTGTTGATGATGTTTTAAGACACTTGCTGCAGATCTGTTGTACAGGCTGTGTTGTGTGGGGGTGAAAATTCAACCTCAGCATCACTTCCTGCTCTCACTGACAGCATTCTCACATTGTCTAGTGGTGAACATTTACTTTACTGAGTGGGTGAAAAGTTTGTTTTCACAAATTCAGAACAGTTTTTTGTGATGTTTTTAGTTGAACTTGGTCTGTGTGAGTTTTCCTGTAAACTCTCCTCACTGCTGTGAACAGCACAACCTTCAGTGCAGCTTCTTGATGGCAAATTAAAAACACTGACTGTGTGTAAAAGTAGCCGAGAAGCCACGAAGAGCATTTAAAGTGAAGCCTTCAAATCCATCCTAAACATACTGGGAGCTGGTCTAACTGACTAACTCAATCTAATCTACA